CGGTGATGTTGAGAATCGGTGCATTCAGAGAAGCTGATGATATTTTGTTCAGTTTCAATTTTTATATCGATATGTTGTCAAGACTCTCTAAAACATAGTTTGATAGTTATTATCAGAAATAATTGGATTGCCTTTCAATTCATATAAATATATCGAAATACTTTCGAAACCAGTCTGCGATATATTTTTCGACGTATTATACACACCATCAGGTAGGTGCTATAATATCAACATTTGGCGACCGTGACAGGACCGGGTGCAGAAAGTATGAAAAAAATGATGAAGGCACTTGACATCCATCGAACATCTTCCACAAGAATCTATGATGTTATCATGGAGGGATTACAATCATCTAGCCCTGATACATTCGAACTACAAGGTACCTAATCTCTAGATACTCGAACTAAAGTGGAAGTATTACTAGATCTACACAAAAGATTTGTTGAACTCCTTCTGGATTCGGACTCTGTTACCAGTGATATCGACTCCGAAATGAAGAAAGCAGATCAATATGCTATGCAATTCAACAATCTGAAGCTGAGAGTCAATAATAAAGTAAGCTAGGTATACTAGTATACAAGATGGAGATCCACACACTACCTATGTAGTCAGATAGGCCAATTTCAACGCAAATTGAAATTACTCCAAATCGAATTCCAGAGATTTGGTGGAGATATTCGAGATTGGTTATCCTTCTGGGGCCAAATCAAACGAATACATGAAGATTAACATCTAGTCAATGAAAATAAGTTTCAATATCTCATACAGGCAACGATTCCCAAATCTCGTGCAAGACTATAGTTATTGAAAGTTACCCACCTTCTGGAGAAAACTATCCAAAGGCCATAGAAAGTTTGAAATCGAGATTTGGCAGAGATAATCTTTTGGTCGAAGTTTACGTACGTGAATTGTTGAAATTGATCCTGAATAATCTCAGTGGCAAGTCCAAGCTGAGTTTTCTTTATGATAAGATCGAAACGCAACTTCGAGCTTTGGAAAGCCTTGGTGTAACTTCCGAAACATGTGCTGCCATATTATATCCTTTGATAGAATCCTGTTTGCCAGAAGAATGCCTGATAATTTGGCGAAGAAGTTCGCACTTCTCTGTTGATGATGGTCTGAAGGAACGATTAGATCAACTAATGAAGTTTCCGAAGGGTGAAGTTGAAAATGAAGGAAGAATCACTCTGGCTTCAACTAGTTTTGATCTACAGAAACAACAACAGAAGAAGAAAGCAGATAATAGTCTCCCTACTCCAACAGCATATTCCTTGGTCAGCACTAGATCTCTGAAATGTGTATTCTGTAAAAAAGAACATCGTAGTGATGATTGTACGGAAGCACTGAAGATGATTCTGAATGAGCGCAAGGAAATTTTTTCCGACAGAGGATGATGCCATAATATGTTTGCCTAAAATTTGGACACATTTCTCGAAGATGTAGAACTGCAGCAATTTTTAATTGCAAGACTTGTGAAGGCAAACATACCACTTTGATGTGTCCTGGTGATGATGAAACACAATGTATAGTTTTCATAACCGAGAATCTTTCAAACCATTCAAATCAAAATGAAGTTTTCTCACAAACTCTAATGGTTCAATCCCTAACAACACAGAGGGGTGTCGGAATAGGTACGTCCCTTTTTTGTTCCGCGGTACAAGGATATGATTGGGGCATCCAAGGGATGTCGCGCAGTGGTTGTTCAGTGGACATCCCGGCATCCCGCCCGGTACATCCCTAGGTTATCCTATTCGTGTCCCTGGAATATCTGATATCCATTCACATCAGAGTCATTGAATTTCATCAAAGTATTAAGTTGCATTTTTGAAAATATTTGTTTTTCTTCCGGAAAATAATCGTAATGGAAATAAAGAATAAAGTTTCAGAACTTCTTAAGAAATTACTCCAAATCGAATTCAGAAGATATGGTTCATACCCTTTTTGGCGGCTGTTTATCTCAAGTCATCCATCATGATTGTTACAGGGTGATTCTAGAGAGCCTCGAAAAAGACTATTCTGGCAGTCTTGAAGTTATGGATCGAGCAGTCATTTGTAGTGATGTTGTTTCCATACATGATGGCCCTTGGTCCAAAGAACTCGAAGAATTAGGTATCCAGAGAAAGGATGAAAATACCTCAATAAAACATTCTTATTGGTGCTGATATTGCTGGTCAACTTTTCGTTGGTCCACGACATGTCGTAAAATGTGGTCTAGTTGCTATGAAGACCCTCAACAGTGTATAATTATAACGATACAAACTCCAAATGGACGAAAAATTCTCTCGATCAAGTCACTGGACTGTGTCGAAATTGCAAAATTTCACACAGCTGAGAAGATAACTTGGAGGTTCAATGTTCCGACCGCCGCATGGTGGGGTGGTTGGTGGGAGCAATTGATATTCACCTCATTAAAAATATCCTTAGAAAAGTGTAGAGCCTGTTTGTCATATTTATTTATTTATTTATTTATTTATAAATTTGAGGCCACCCAACAGGCAGGTGTTTCACTGCCCAATAATAGAGTGGCACATTATAACATACAATTTATCATATAGTACTGGGTATGTTTTCTATAGTTATAGAATGCTTAAGATAAGTATTTGTGCTTAGTAACTAACAGTACAAGATTTGACAATGTTATAACTATTTGGCAATATAATTTGTATTTAACTAATCAAAAAGGACTAATTGTACAGAACTTGTTTGACTCCATGTCTGAACATGATAAATGGGAAGCTGAATACATCAAGATCATTGTTTGATTTACATACACTATTGAAAGTTTTGATACATCTTATTGACGGAGAGTTGAGCAGAAAGTTTGTTGAGCAATGGGGAACTCTTAAAAGTTGTCTATTCCTCATGTTGTGTTGCGAGCTATTGAAGTAGCATAATTCTAAGCAATATGGGCAATCTGTCAGATTATTGAATAATTTATATATGAAACATACATCAAAAAATTTCCTTCTCAATTCCAAATTTTCCAGCCTATAAAATTTCAAGTTGTTTTCATATGATTCATGGTGTCTGTTCTTGTTGAATCTAAAGTTCTATTTATGATTTTTTTTGGTACATTTTCCAGTCTATCAATATAGCAGTTGTAGAATGGATTCCATATAATAGATGAGTATTCGATAATAGGTTTCACAATGCTATTGAACAGACGAGTAACAGATTTCCAACAATTGAATTCTTTGGTGACCCTGAATATGAATCCTATGTTCCTAAGTGACTTCTGTGTTATTTGTTCGATGTGTTGCTCAAAAGTTAATTTGTTATCTAAGGTTATTCCTAGATCCTTCACGCTATATATTAGTTCTACCGATGATTTGGTCTTTCAATTTCAAGTCGTATATAATGTGTTTGTTACTACGGGAAAACACAATTTGATAACATTTCGAGAGGTTGAGATGGAGTCTGTTACGTGAGCAATAGACTGAGAATATATCTGATTGAAAATCTAAGTATAGTCACTGGGACTTTCAATGTTCTTGTAGATTTTTAGGTCATCAGCGAAGAGGGTATGCTTTGTGTTATGAAAACAACCTGACAAATCATTGATGAAAATATTGAATAGAAGCGGCCCCAGATGTGACCCTTGTGGGACACCTGACGTAACACGGTCACATTTTGACTTGACACCATTAATCACGACAAATTGGGTTCGCTGATCTAAGTACGAAGTTAGTAGGTTCAAAAGGTGCCCGTGCACACCGAATTCTCGAAGTTTGACTACAAGGCTTTCGTGATGAACCTTGTCAAAGGCCTTCGAGAAATCCGTGTACACGGCACATGTTGCTCCACCTCCTTCCATATTTGAGAGAGTATCGTGTATGTATGGAACTAAATTGGTTAAGACGGATCTTTTCGAAAAAAAGCCATGTTGAGATGGGTTGATGGAATTTCGCACTTGGAAAAATAGCTCGACAAAAATTATGGTTTCGAATAGTTTGCCAAGTTGGTTCAGAAGAGAGATTGGTCTATAGTTAGCCATGTTAGAATTATCCCCTGATTTATATGGATTGGTACGACCATTGCAACTTTCCATTGTTTCGGGAAGATTCCACTTGTCAGACACTTGTTGAATATGATGTGGAGGGGTTCAATAATAGACTCGATGCATCTTGTTAGAAATAATGTCGGGATACCATCTGGTCCTGGCCCTTTTTTGATATTTAATTTCTGTATAGCATTCCGTATCTGTTCCTTTGTAATGAACGATATCACGAAGTGGGAGGAATCTTTCGAAGAATTGTTATTGTCGACAAGGCATGGGGAGTTATTTGATTCAAAGACGCTGCAAAAATAGTCAGAAAAAAGGTTCGCAATTGATTCGACGTCGTCTGCAGTTTTGTTATCGAAAAACATTTTCACCGGTATAGTGCGTTGGGTTGGTTCAAAAAAGTATAAGAATATTGCTATTCTGGCTACCAGCATTAAATTTGGCATACATGGTGATAAATATGTAGGAAACAAAAAACCATCGAGACACAAGCTGTGTCTGGAATATTTCGTCCGCCATTTTCTAAAATGGCGGCCGAAAACTAGATTTTTGCTGATATCTCAAGAACGGTGCAAAATTTTGGAAGAGTTCAAATTTATGAAATAAAGAACATTACAAGGCGGATATTTTTTGTCTGAAACATTTCCTTGTGAGGCTGATATAAAAGTCAATAAATTGGAAATATTCAGTGGAAAATCCTCGTTTTCTCAAAAAATCATTTAAAATATCAACAATTACCCCGTTACCAAGTATCCCTACCCATTCATTATAATCCTCCTTACACACGTATTCATCTAGAAATATAGAAGATCTTTTTTAACTTTACAATATACCGGGTTTTGCACATCATTGTCTCAAACTTATTTCAGGTATTATCAACAAACTAAATCTGAATAATGGAATCCCAGTCCTTACTGGAGACCAGCCTATTTACGCCTTGGCAAATCAGTTGCAATGGAAGTTTCCTCATTTATATGGAAAAGATAAATTCGTTGTCATGATGGGAGGTCTCCATATAGAAATAGCAATCATGAGTATGATAGGCTCATGGTTAACTGGATCAGGCTGGACTGATATTCTTGTTGATGCTGGAGTCACAAGTCCTGGGCGAGCAGAATCTCTCTTATCATGTTCACATGTGAAACGTACTACATACGCTCATCAAGTAACAGTAGCTGCATTAGTCATCTTGGAGGGTCATACTCACAAGTCTCGAGAAATATGTAGTGAGGAACCTTATTTAGATTTCGATGAGTGGTGTACTAATCGTACTGAGGAATCAGTTCAGTTTCTTTTTTGGTCAATCACCATTGAGCTAGACGTTCTATTGCTGGCTTATTCGCTGAGTCCGCGTGAGAGCAATTTCATTAAGTACAAGAGAGTTCTTGTAGATATCTGTCCATGGATGTTTGCGTTAGATCATACCAACTATGCGAGATGGCTACCAGTTTTCGTGAAGACTCTTCAAGAATTGGAAATTCATCACCATAGCATCAATGAAGAATTCATGAAAGGAAAGTTTGTTAGTATGAAAACGAATCGATCATTTTCAGCGATAGCTGATGATCAATTACATAAACAGAGCAACAAAAAGATAAAGGAAATTGGTGGAGCAATTGGTTTACTAAACAATCCTACAGCGCTTCTAAAATGGACGGTTGGTGGGCCAGATATTGTGAAAATGATATCTGACTTAGATTTAGAGAAAATACGAAATCTTTTGAGGAAAGATTCAGAAAGCATACTCTTGCTATTGTAGCCTTCTTCCAAAATTATGGAAATCCATTCGAAGGAAATGTATTATCTACAGCAGTTAGCAATATACGGATGACACCGGATGCAGAGAAATCTGTGAAAGAAGCTAAAAATATAGGGAATACTCTTTATGACAGTTTAGTTCAAGAAAGAGGAAAAATATCTGTACATGACGTTATCAAGCGATGCAAGCTGGTATTATTCAATGACAAGAGAGAGGAAAAAAATCGAGAAAGATGCTAATATTTTTTGTAAATTATATGTGGCCAGCCAAATCAGATAAACGAATCGCAACATTTTTTGCTCATGAAAATCATTCATATCCACCTGCAATAAGTGAGTTCGGAAGACTACGAAAAGCAGCGAAGGAATCTGATATCTTTGTTTATCAGCGACAAGTCAAAGTGTAGGAGAAGATACAGCTCAAAACTAAGTTTCATGTTGTTCCGCTGTAGTTATCGATGGTGCTGCACTGGTTCATTCTTTGGATACAAAAACATCAAAGACATTCTCTGAATATTGTACCAAAGTATTTCTTTCTGCTATAGACTTTCGTCTCCGAAAATTTTAAAGGGTGGACATCTCGGTCGACATAGTTTTCGATAGGTACTTGCCTGGTAGCCTGAGAGCTGACACAAGATTGAAAAGAGGGTCTGGAAAAGAGATTGTTGTAAGACCAACCACACCTATGCCGAAAGTCTTCAGTACATTTTTGCAGTGTGATAGCAATAAAAAACAACTATTCAAACTCCTTTCTACCAAAATAAAATCACTCGAGACTGATGGAGAGTTAGTGATTTGCACTGATGAAGAATCAGTAACATTTGTTGGTCCGTTAGTTGATGGTGTTGATCTCGCACCATACTCACATGAAGAAGCAGATACTAGACTTCTCATAAACGTAAAAAGTGCAATATTGTCAGGCCATAAAAACATTTTGATAAGTACAGTGGATTCAGATGTCATTGTTATTGCTGCTGCTAAATTCCACGAGTTGAAGCAAATGGGTATGCAAGACCTTTGGTTTGAATTTGGAGTTGGAAAAAACAGACGCTATTTCTCACTGTCAGTGATCCTGCGAGGACTCTCTGTTGAAAAATATGCTGCACTACCATTTTTTCATGCGTATACAGGATGTGATACGGTGTATCATCGTTTCATGGTATTGGTAAAACGAGAGCTTGGAATGTATGGGGAAAGATGCAAGGAATGGCAGACGTATTCATCCGACTTTCATCAACAGATATAATAACTGAAGAAGATTTTGATTCAGCTCTTCACTGTAATGATGCATGATGTTACCAGCCACACAGAAACAGTGAATGAGTGTAGAAGAGTACTGTACACTGAAGAATCGAAGTGTGGGAATATTCCACCAACTGAAGGAGCTTTGCGTCAACACCTGAGGAGAGCAATGCTTCAGTCGCGTATTTGGATCAAATGCCTGAAATTGCAACCATATATTCCAAATGGAACTAACTGGGGATGGAAATCGTCAAATATTGTCAAGATGGAAGGATTCAACCACTTTGGACAGTTTTGCCACAAGCATCTGATGAATGTACAGAATTGATCAGCTGCAGATGTAGAACAATGTGTATCAAGAACTGCAAATGCAATAGATTTAATTTGCAGTGTACTGCTCTATGCACGTGTGATGGACAGTGCACTCAATAAATATTATTTGTAATACTGTTGTATTAGTTAGTTCACCAAGATTCTTACTGATCTGATCGAACCTAATTAAACATCAAGCCTATAACATGATTGATATATAATTTTATTTAGATTGAAATAATTCACCGCCATTTTACGTAATGGTACCTTCGGTTTGAATCCTCGAGAAAGATTTCATCATACAGATAACTCATGATCATGATTTCTGTGGCTAATCTTAGCCTGAATGTTTCCATCTTAATTTTTTCTTGAGAAACCTTGAAAAATTGAATTTTAATATTTCGATTATTGGATTTTTGATTCGTCTGACAAAAAAATGTTTCGCACAAAAACTGTCCGCCTTTTTATCCTCTATATTTCATCAATTCAAACTTTCCTGATATTTCCCACGGTTCTGGAGATATTAGCAAAAATCCAGCTTTCGGTCGCCATTTTGAAAAATGGCGGCTGAAATATTCCAGATACAGCGTGTGTCCCGATGGTTTTTTGTTTTCTATATATTCATCAACATGTGTACCGAATTTCATGCTGGTAGCCAGAATAGCAATATTCTTGTGCTAACATAACGCACTAGTAGTGATTTATTCTTCGACTTGTTTGCGACGAAAGACCAAAAAAACTTTGTATCATGTTCAATAGTACATTCAGTTTTTTTATGTAACTAGCATAGTCAGATTTCACGTTTTGCTTGAATAACCTGCGATAATTGGAGAACTGATCATAGTCATCTTGATTATTGAACAATTTCCATTTTTTTGTGATATTTTTCTTTTTTTTTAATAAGAATTTTAGTTACGCGGCTATACCAGATTGGATATTCAGTTTTCGAAATTGTCTTCTTGGGAACATAGGAATCTATTATGGTCAAAATGACTAGCGTTGGTACGGGGCCATCAAGAAAAGGACACTCTGGCCGACGGTTTCCCGACGGTCAATCTGCCGGCATTCATTTCATTGATGGGCTTCCAAATCCCCATACTGGCATAGGAACGAAGTATAAAAAATGTCTCGACTTTGGATGATAAGATTGCGATCTGATTAGATCTTCATTTTGGAGGTTGACCTCATACATTTTCGTGACTTGGTAGCGCTGATGGTCCATTCTCCAGGTGTCCTATCCATTCAGTCGTATTTTTGCAACCGCTATATCGTTGGAATATCCCTATGAGAACATGACTAGCTACTCGTATTAGTATCTAAACTCATGTAGTTAGTATCGGTGAGATGTAAACGAATCGAAACGGATAAGAGAATATTTCAAACTTATATATTTTGATGATAATATTTCAACTAACACTTTGATATCCTGAGAGAAATAATCCCAGACAGCACTGGATATTCATAGAATATTCTCTAAATATGCTAAAAAGGAGGGAGTATATTCCGAATATTCATCGATTATTCCTAGAATATATACATGCCTCAGGAACATCTAAAAGGAATATTCCAAAGTAAATAGTCGGACATGTTCAGGGAATATTCAGGTATGAAATCTTCCAGGAATATTCCCAACTGAATATTCTCTGTTGTATATTCATGAAATATACCCAACTGAATATTCTGTGCGGTATATTCATGAAATATTCTCAACTGAATATTCTGTGGTGTATATTCATGAAATATTCCATGAATATTCCTATGTTTCTCAACACATTAATACCATTTATTATTCCAGAGATGTAAGTATCGAACATCAATTTGATGTAAGGATATTTTGAAACAAAAAGTGTTTATGATCCGATTTCGAACAATGCTCTCACAAGAACTTGATATGTATAACATTATTCAATTCGATTACTGGCCTAGTGGTCAAGGCGTTGCTCTGATAGTCTTGAGGTCACGAGTTCGATCCCTCTTGGGTCACTTTTTTTTATTTTAGAATATGTTTATTGGAATATTCCAGGAACATTCAACATAGTCCCACGCACTACCCCTTTAACGGAACGACACCGCCCAGACAGCACTGGATATTCCTAGAATATTCTCTAAATATGCTAAAAAGGAGGAGTATATTCCGAATATTCATCGATTATTCCTAGAATATATACATGCCTCTGGAACATCTAGAAGGAATATTCCAAAGTGATGTTCAGGGAATATTCAGGTATGAATTTTCCAGGAATATTCCCAACTGAATGTTCTGTGGGGTATATTCATGAAATATTCTCAACTGAATATTCTGTGCGGTATATTCATGAAATATTCTCAACTGAATATTCTGTGGTGTATATTCATGAAATATTCCATGAATATTCCTATGTTCCTCAACACATAAATACCCATCATTATTTCAGAGTTGTGAGTATCGAACATCAAAATTAGATGTAAGGGGATTTTGAAACAAAAAGTGTTTATGATCCGATTTCGAACAACGCTCTCACAAGAAATTGATATGTACAACATCATTCAATTCGATTACTGGCCTAGTGGTCAAGGCGTTGGTCTGATAGTCTAGAGGTCACGAGTTCGATCCCTACTAGGGTCACTTTTTTTATTTTAGAATATGTTTATTGGAATATTCCAGGAATATTCAACATGGAATATTCTTTTGGATATATTCTATGAATATCTGAGGAATTCCCATTCGCATATTTAGAGAATATTCCACAGATATTCCGGAATATTCCAGATTATTTCTAGAATATTCCAATATTCCAAAAGGAATATGATAGGGAGATTCATGGAATATCTGGTGCTGTCTGGGCGAGTATAATAGATATCGTGCTGACCAAGAACGTTACGTCATTGTCAACACTGTCAGTTGTCGACGAGCTGAACTCTGATCACCTGCCAGTGATATATAGTTTTGGAGATAAACCACGCGACACTAAAAAACAACTATATGACTATAAAACCACAGACTGGCAGAGGTTCAGGGGTCAGCTCGACGATAAAATAACTATTAATCCTAATCTCAGTGTCTCGGAGATTAATTCTGAGACCTTGAGGTTCTGTGATGCTATAATCTCAGCAAGAAATATGACGACGAGATTGGTCAGTATCGACTCCACCAAGGATATTCTTCCAGGGGACATTCTTGAGCTAATAGCCGAAAAGAAGAGACTCAGAAGGCGCTGGCAGCGGTTGAAGACCCCCCAAGCAAGGTGTGACTTCAGCCGCACAGCCCAGCTGATAGAAACCAAAATCAGAGAGTTCAGGAATGCCACCTGGAGGGCCAAGGTGGAGACCCTAGATCCCCGAGATAACACTCTTTGGAAGATGACAAAGAGGCTGAAGAGAAAATGCACCCCTGTCCCTTCCTTGGAGTGTGATCGCGGGGAGGCGGTGTCAGATTCTGAGAAGGCGGTGGTACTTGGGAAACATTTT